TTTTTTTTTCTGAATTGCACAACAATTCTCTGTACCTCGATGAGGGAACTTCATTTGCCTAGGTTGTGAAACGATTGGAAGTTAGCGGAGCATTCCACACTGTACAAATGCACGATGCAGTACCTATCCTTCGCAATGCACTTGCTGGAGTCCAACTAAACCCTTCAAGATGCAATGTGTACTCAAATTACACGGGACATATCTATCCAGCAAAGAATGTGAGTAATTTCAACGGTTGATGTTCATGAAAATTGATGACCAAGAAAAAATTGTTTTTAGGCAGAAATTCGCGGCGTAATCGTTAAACAAGTGACACATCCTGTCAAGTGGGAACAGATACAGCAACTGCTTTATCGAAAGCATCGCGTAAGTTTACCAATGACACCTTTTTCTGAGCTCTAGAGCCTGTGCTGCACAGATCTCAATCGTTCTTCCAGGAACTTTCCTTTTATTATCTAGCTGTAGAAAGTGTATTTTGTGATTTTACAATCTAAATTCTTGATAAGTTCAAACAGATGATCCGGCATATGCTGTAGTTGTATTTAAAGCACATGTCTCAAAAAGTAATGACATTGACCGTAGACGGCGGCCTAGCGATCTGGTTACTGTTTATTTGTTCTGGATTTGGTTTGGTGGCAATCACATAATCTGCCGCAAAAATTGAAGTTTGCGAATAATAGGCTGAAGAAGGTTTGAACTATCAAATTTAGGATTACACATTCCCGATGTTCGTCGAATTGGGCGCCGGACGACAACTCGGCGCAATGTTGTTACAAACAAGCAAAAAAGCTTATAAGAATTACCAACATATCAGTTGTTAGAAGTTTACAAAATAGTTAGCAATCTGATAGTTAGGCAAATTTAAAAGTTCCACCTTGTACAGGGAATATCTGCCGACGATTGGTTGGTTTTAAGATAGAAGAAATCAGTGGCTGTTTTGGTATTTTCACACTTGAATAGTCACTCATGATCTATCAATGTACTTAATTTGTTTTAGTTTTATGATTGTTAAGTTTTTATCTTGGATATAACGACTTGCAGGCCTTGGCACTGACCTCATTTGAGTGAACATGGATATATAAATGACTAATGAATGGATGAACTGAATGAATAAATGAGTGAATGGATACTAAGAAGTCTTTCTTTCTTTAAAATTGTAAAATATCATGGTTTGGAATAGCGCCCCACTGTCGCTACGGATTTAAGGCTTGCATTTTAGTTTTCGAGGAATTTTCCTTCTTTACATATTCCTTTCAAGAAGAAATAATAGATTAGACATATCTTTTGTCTTCACAAAATGAGGAGTTGAATTAGAAGTTAAGAGGTCATGGAAGTTTTCTGCCAAAAATGGCCTCTAAAAAGTCAAACTTTACTCGATCTAAAGCAGTCGTAGTGGCGATTCCAAAAGACATAATACTGGTTGATGCAGCTTGAAACGTTAATTTTGGATTTGCAGTTCATAAATGCCAAACTCTCTAAAAGAAGTGTGAAATTACTTCGCCAAAAATGGCCTTTAGAACAGCAAATACTACCTGAATTTACGACACTAAGGACTAGACTTTATAGAAATCTATACATAAGTATATAACTTCTGCGTTGTTGTTTTGGGTTGAACCTCTTGGCTTTTACATAAAAGCAAACGACAAAAAAACGTGAATTGCATCTTTCCTTTATTTGGCAAAT